ACTAAATTATTTGACATGACACTAAATATCTCATGATATTTAGTAATAAGTTACTGTCTGTAGTTTACGCGAGTAGCACTCATAAAACACTTTTAACGGTTTAAAACGCGAAATGTATTAGTTAAACTTATATTTACAAATTAGTTTTACTACAGCCCGACGCATACTCGATTTTAATTATCGGCTATCGTTGTACAAAACTGTGGGTATATACATTGCCTAATTGTAATTGTCTAGTTGCATGACTGTAAACATGTTTCGAAAGGACTAGAATTTTAACCCAACATTCTTTTTAACATACATTACTTATTGCTTTCAATTAGATAAAAAAAATGACAGCCCTGCGCAGGCACATGTAAATATTGACTCACTCAGTAAGCTGCAGCGAGGCGTCACGGCAAACTGCCACCAAGCAAACATTTGTCAAACTGTGTTTGCTGACAGAACCAACTTATATTGCTCCACTATCATTTGATAATTTTCGAATTATGTGATACATTATACGATTCTATTTTGGTCAGCTCCTTGATCTTGAAGAAAGAAATTATATTTGGATATTAAAAATACAACTACCTACATGTCACATCTAGGGCATAGAGTGAACACTCTTGATTCGTTTCACTGATCGATGTTTACAGGCGAGTAGTTGATACGACTGTTCATCACTGAACGACTGAAAATTTTATCCTTTTAAAGTAAGGATCTCTAAATAAAACACTCTAACGGTTAAAAAAGCGATGTATTAGTTAAACTTGTTTAAAAAATGATTTTTAACTTCGGCCCGATTTGGATGCTTTACAGCAGCCGTGGTCACGGGGAGACCTGTGTTAGTGTTTTATTTACATGTGTACCTTCTACTCGCGTAAACTATAGACAATATTAGAACTTTTCGTACAACAAACCTACTTACTTATGCTTAAATTTTTCTTCAAGAACGAAATGCAAACGTACCACAACCCAAAGCAGTGTATGCAGTCACCAGAGTTAGATTATTAGTAAAAGAGTGTCTGAGTGATCCTAGATTCGATTCCCCAAACATAGTGTGCATCGTGCAGAAACGTTTTTTTATTCATTGATCGCTTTTATTTAAAAGTTTATGGGCCCAGCTCTACTGAATCTATTGTTTTCTAGGGATTAGAATAATAGGACAGACGATCTAGGAATATAGTAAGTGTACAATATAGTTTCCAACATCGAAATACTAAAAAAAATAAGACTACTTTTTAAAGAAATAATTTTTAAAGACGACTATGGGTATAACACTCGTGAGAAAGGACGTCGCATTTACTTTGCTTGCAAGCAAAGCTAACAGCCTTAATTTTCAAATTTCGAATCCTAACGAATGATACTACGACTAGAATGAACCAATTTAAAAATAACATAATTATTTTAATTAAATACAAATAGCGTACTCGAACGAATAATTTGCGCTATTCAGTTAATAAATTACCTCCCGACCACCCCTCCAAGTTGGCGCAGACAAATAAATATTACGATACACTTACAGGCAATACGTAAATATGCGCCGAGTGCACGTTTCAATACTTGCAGTGATAAAGTCGTGGAGCTCCGGGCCGTTAGTGATGTGCTGTCTTATTATCGATATTGTTTTTTCTCATTTCTTGGTAATTATAATGTGCTTTTAATAGGTATAATTTACAAAGAATTCTTTGTATTTTTTTTTATTACTGTCGTATATAGAATTGTAATTAGTAATTACATATATACTTACCTTATATTTGATTACTTGTATATAAATGTAAATACCGGGTTACTCTCATGTTAATTTATTTTACATACAAGCTTTTGCTTAAATATTAAAACGTTTAAAGTAAAAATACAACAGCAAGTACGACTATTTATTTCTAGAGGAAACACTGAAAATCGCATTGCATTTGAAATAATTATAAAAAAAGTTAAATTTTTTGAAAACATTAAAATGTTTCATATAATTGATGATTATGCAACCTTTTTGACGAAAAAAGGACATACCAAATATTTACATTCTTATCGTTCTCGCTCAAAGACACCCATAATACATATAGTACTCGTTATAGAAAAATGAAACGGTAATAGATCATTGTAATCCACCCCGTACGATAAACACGAGCCACAATCAAAGTATTGAATAAGAGAAAACTTCATTACACAAAACAAAGGTACAATAAACACGCTCACTGATATAATCGATAAGACGCGGACCCCGCTCATAATAATAGTCGGGGCGTGGTACAGCCAACAAAACGAAGACTCGAACAGGTATTGTGTACGTGACGAATATGTGGGCCGTACACGCGATTCGTGTGCACAAATTAATAGGTGTAAGTGATTTGGGTTGTACGTCTTCATTTTATGCTTGGTGAAAAAATTTTAACATAAATAGGTACCTTACACATTGTACGAAAGGTCCCTAGTTTTAAAACAAGTGAAAACGATAATATTTTTCGGTAGTGCATGGATGAAAAATTGTATTAAATATTCGACTTTATAAAACAGTGAAACGGAACAAGTGTGTTCACTCTACGCCATATCACAGTGTGACAGGTAGTTAGTTAAAGATATAATATCAAAATATAAATTCTATCTTTGAGTTCGTGGAGCTGACCAAAAGAGCTTTACTCTACTTTACAATTCTTCATAAAAAAAACTCTCAAATTTCGACAGCAAGAGAATTTTAAGTGGACAAACAAATAACTTAAAAACATAAGTTTTCGTTAGCGGGTAAGTAGGTATTTTAAAGATTTTAAATATAGAAGAATAGCAAATAAACCGTATCACATCGAAGGCACAAAAGATGCACTACATCCATCGGAATGTACTTTAATGATAGCGAACCCGGCCCCATATAATTTACCGGCGATTGAGTTATTAGAAGTGCCTACAAGGTACCAGACGTGTTCACGTTTAATGCGTCCAGTTTTTGGATGACTTAATGTCACTTTGATATGAAGAGTGTTGAATGAGTTTCTTTTCCTTACATATAAAAACCTAACGATAGATCCACATTCTTAAACCCTGATGCTAGAGAATTCAAAGTTGGAGAAGAGGGATGCGTAGATATGCGATAATAAGTGACTATCTAGGAGCCAAAAAAGGGGGGCGAATTAGTTTCTTCGTCCGATCTACCAACCGAACCAAGTGAATGAAATTCGAGATTGTTCTTTTTTTCTAAAGGACGACAGACAAGCATGAGGTTCTCTTGATGGTAAGTGAAATACCAAAATAAAGCATCTAAACAAGAAACGCTGTCGACCTAATTTGGCTTAAGATTCGGAAGTCCACAAACTAAAACCGAAGCGCGATTAAACTTCACGGATTTTTCACCTGTGAACCTATGTGGTTCGTGACCATTGATTGATTATTGATTAGCCATATATACCATTATCACGAGCCCGTCAAATCCGATCATTAAAACGTATCTCCTGCTGACCGGGTTAAAAGGGAAGAAAGTATGTAATCCGGATAACACCAGGCATATCCTCTAGTCGTGGATATTAAGATGTCGGCGGTGAAATGGAATCGACTAAATTAAGTTAAAGTGAGCGTTATGTGACCACATTAACATAAACGACTTTGAATATATTAACTGGTCGTCAACATGAAGGTATTAAGACATTAATTATATCATTAAATCTGTTTTGTATAACTTGCTGATAGTGATTTTTTGTCGCTTTCCAAAATCCAAAGCTAAGATTTATTACTGAGATAAACATATACATTTCTTCAAATAATTAAAAATGTATTACAGACCTCTTTTATGACTAGGTACTTACATAAATAGAATTATTTAAACGAATTAAAACGGCGATGACGAAAGCTTGTCTAGATGGATCGTTTTTTTTTATTTTAACCACTCTTTTCCGCCTGGGGACAGCAATGCTGTGAATATCATCTTACCATATATATATTAAAACCCTATAAGCGAATAATCTCTTGTTTCGAATCGTAACAAAAAATGATGTACGTAGCATAAATAAGAATTACAGTGCTCGTGTTAAGAAAATAAGGTATCCACAAATTGGATTGGAAATACGTAACACATCCATGCATTAACAACTTCAACTATCATTATCTAGTCTCGGCTTTGAAATGAAAATGAAGGTCCCTCGAGCCGGGCTTAATGCGTTATATTTTTTTCACTCACAAATTATCTCATTATTCGAATAGTCCTTTCGTGCGACGTGGGCGTACTTTGTCGCTCTCTTATGACCCTATGAATTGATTAAGGTTTTTTCTTCCATTGTAGGGTAATCACCGAATGTATTTATCGTTCTTAATGATCTCAGATTAACATGTACGGCTGGAGGCCCGGCATGACGGTGCTTTTCTGTTTTAGAATAAATCTTCAGTAATTAATGCTTCAGTTGATTGTTCATTGATATAAATTTGAATTAATAATTTAGGATGACTGGATACATTTGGACGTCGTTTGTGTTGTTGTTCATGTCAAACATTATTTAAATTATTAGTGGGTAGTACATGGAGAGTTTCATCTTTACGAGCTAGTTGGTTTAGTGGTAGAAATTGGTGGTTATTTACTTGTTATCGGTTTGATTTCCTTCGTCTTTGTCATTGAACTTCCCTAATCTGTTCTCAGATGTGACAGCCGTGATGTTTAAAACCTCTAAAGTATTAAATATTGTCTGTACTTTACGCGAGTAGTACACATTTAAGTTATATTTTACTAACGTTTTAAAACGCGATGTATATTAGTTAAACTTATTTTAACTACGGCCCGACTAAACCGACGTTTGGGATGATTTGCAGCAGCTGTAGTCACGACTCCCAGTCGTCTTAAACCGTTAAGTGTTTTATTTAAACAGTCTGTGGATTTCCGAATATGAAAATGGATTAAAGTGCTTTATCTTCTTTTTAGTGAACTCTGCTTACCTCATGAGTCTTAGTCTCATCTCAGTATAGGTACATGGAACCGATCAACTAACGGTACCAGATCATCAAGAAATAATTCATTACACAAGGACCAAATCCGCTCTGTCATCATGTGTTTATTCAATGTTCGAAAGCGGCGCACTAACGACATTGGAATTGCTTTTGAAAAGCAATTAATTATTAATTCGAGATTCGATTTTCAAATTTCTCCAACGTCAGTATATAACTCCGCGCTTACAAAACAAAGGCTTCGAAAGTTGTCGAGCCGAGTCCTAACGAAGTCGAACATCCTTTTTTCGACGCCACGAAGACAGCATGTCGGCGCACGAGAGTCCCTTCAGGCGATTTGGGCATTTTTTCCTCAAACCGATGTGGTTGCCCTCGCCCGAGCTTGTTCTTGCTGTAATGGCTTCATTATACCAATCGGAATCTCGGAGGCTTACGGCAAAAAGGATATAACCCGACCAGATAGAGATGAGCGCGACCTTTAGAATTGGGAATCGAGTTTTGTGTTATAATATTGGAATATTATAACATAGAATATATATTAAGAAACTCAGATATTGTTAATGATTAATATATATGAATTTTAATTATTTACTATTCACGTAAATATTATTTATGTAAATAGTAAATAGGTCATATTTCTATGTCCTTATTGTTATCAGAGAAGGCCAGAAAATATCGAGTTTACTTAACTGTGGAAAGCCCTGGTCATTAACACGTAATAAGGATGCACTGTCGACTTATTTTTATTTGAATTTTCAGAAATTTAATTATGTTTGTTCTCTTGTTAACTCTCTGGTTAACGTAAAGAGACACGAAATTATTGTAGAAAAGGAAATGAAATCAAACATCGTTTCACACTAATATTTATAATGGTTATAATTTGTTAGAAAACTTAGATACTTTACTATAGATGTTTGTCTTTTTGTATAGATAACATTCGTTTGTGTAGAACGCCGCAAACCATCTAAGAATCGGGTCGTAACATAAGTTAACTTTACGTAAATCGTATTTAACCATTAAATGTGTTTTATTCAAATGTGTACTTGTCTTACAGGTAATGGTTATACAATGTAATAGATTATCGATACATGCACACATCACTATTCGGGTGCCAAATCGTTCGCCACGGCGGTCTCGCATGAGGTAAAGTAATGACAGCCCCCATTTCGTTGAAACGCCGAATTTCTTATTTACTTATACGCTTCGAAGTGACTTCATTTCACTTCACAATTAGTGGACCTGGTCATTACGCCTTCGTGGAAGCTCTTTAACATACATTCGACTTTTCACGAAATAATCTGCCTTATTGACTTTGTCAATTCCTGTATTTGCGTACAGTTATTTCTCTGATGGATAATTTTACGTTATTTATTTAGGTATATATATATATATATAGTATAGATAAATTATATATTAGCATAAATAAAATATAATCAGCGCTATAGACACAGAAGTTTGCTGGCCTTACTGTGCCTCGTAAGGGAAGTGAAACACTTAATAAGTTAACAAGTGTATAAAACCATCAACTAACACAATTAATTTCTCATCAAACGCCGTAACTAAAGCTATTTCCATAGTGGTCTGAGATAGACAGTTTGCGTTAATAATACGTGTGTATTACCTTCAGCCAAAAAGGCTGCGGTGTGCTAGAAACGCGCGTCTTTACGCGATACTATTAGGATAGACAGGACACATGGATAAACTACTTGCCTGTAATACAGATCAGTAAAACGGACACATAAGTGTCATTCGCCCCTCATCAACGGGGAGAATGGGATTTCGCCGTAAAAAGAGCAATTAGTCAACCCAAAAATTACCCCTATTTGTACTCGTTGTGTGTTGTTGTCTTCTTCATCACGTCATCATCATAGTCACGTATACTTGTTCTACGTTATTGCATTGTAAACGTTTGTTATTGCAAAACCAATATTCCTAAACTGGCATTAACGTGTCCAAACTGATAATTAGACATGTCCAATACACATTTGGCCAGCAAGGTAGATCAAAGCTCTATTTAAAGGACAACGAACGACGACCGTGAATCGTCTTTCGTGTATATACTGTATACGGACATTAAAACATAGCCTTTATATAAGACCGCAGCCTTACTAGCAGCCTATCATGTAAGATCTTCGCGATTATTAAGTGGCGTACGTTTCAATTGCGCGGGACCACCGTATTTATTGCACCTCCATTGCTTGAATAGAAATAAACACATGCTCCGCGCAGATTAATGTATCTTTTGTGTTATAAAGCGGGTCTTGTATGAGGTTTTGTGTTTGCGGTTAAAATTAAAGTCTAATAGTGGCGATATTATGGTTTACCCTGCCATACCGATAGATGTCGTTTTTTAGCAAACCGCGTAGACGCTTACTGATACATGAAATACAAACTTCTATTTAAAACTACAATTCGAAAGATAATGGAAATCCACCTTTAGTAGTTGAAGCCTGAAAATTAAAACAAAATGTCGTGTCGTAGTTAAAACATTATTCTCAAATGTAACTCGAGTTTTAACCCGTTTAAGTTATTTTATTTAGTAGCATTTACTGAAACTACTAGAGACACAGCTTTATATGATGGACAACCGAAATACTCACATAATGTATTGTTTATGTTGACTATATTATCCCTATACTTTAAAATAGATAATTTAAATTTAACGGTTTAAAATGCGAAATGTATTCGTTAACTTATTTTCAATATATTTTGACTTTTCCCAACGTTTCTGGTGCTATGCAGTAGTCCTGGTATGAAAAGTAGTAAATTGTAAATAAGTTAACATTTCGCGTTTTAAACCGTTTTATGTAACTACATTTAAAACGCACTGAATATCGCTAAGTGCCACAAAAAGCAGACCTCACTTCACAACTCAATAACTCGTTACCCTCACACCATTACTTAAGTAATCGATCAATTTGTACAAAACAATCGACGAATTTTTATTCGGATCGCGTGTGGTCGCGTTTTGAGATCAAATGTATCGATATCGCGAATCGTCGCACTGGTTGAATGCAAGTTAAATAAGGGTGCGCGTAGACTAGCTGTTTTTTGCTAAATAAATAGTACTATTGAAAACTTTAATACTTTTCACATGTTATGTGGCTCGGTAGCTCAATTGGTTAGCTCTTGCTCTAAGGAACCGGAACGCTGACGGTGCCGGTTCAAGTCCTGCCCGAGTGGTAAATTTTACAATTTCTTTTCGATTCTTAATTTACCTTAGTACAAGCTGTTATAAAAAAATATGATAGAGATTTAAATAATACAATTTTAACTCTTAAAACGTGAAATATATTAGTTATTCATTATTTATTTCTTACAGCTTTTCAGTAGCCGTGGTGACAAGTTGGGCTGTATTGTAAATAAGTTAAATAATAATCTTCGCGTTTTAAACCCTTAAAATTGTTTTATTTGACATTGATTGTTGCTTATTGGAATATCTTGTTTATATAAAACGCTAACTGTTTAAAACGCGAAATATATTAGGGTAATCTTCCCGTGACCTCGGCTGCTGCTAAGCATCTGCAATTTTTAAAAATAAAAAATAAATTGTAAATAAGTTAGCCAATACATTTCGCGTTTTAAACCTTTAAAAGTGTTTAATTTCCATATGGTATTTGTTTAACGCGGAGTATATCACCGGCCTTATATTTGGCCAATCGTGTGGAACTATGCGTTAATTTTCTGGTATACGTCGAACGCGCTGGCTTATATCTGTGCATTTGTGCGATGTATGACAGTATCGACAAAGAATTCCTGCACATTGCCTGGACAGTAGCCATTTTGCTTGACGTTTGATTTCTTGTATTTTATGGAAGTGTCATTGTAGAATAGTACATTCTTATTTTGCTCATTGCTGTCGATAACGTATGTGGGAATCATTTGATATTAAATTTATGAAAAATATTAGATTATTAAGGTGTATTGTTTATATAGGCATACAACTGAAAGAAATTAACAGTTAAAGCGCTTTATTTAAATACTATGTATTTTTTTAGCAATATAAGCACATCATTCTATTTTTTTTAATTATTTAGGTACATAGTGTATGTGGTAATTTCGATGAAAAATATTATTACATAACAAGCGCAACTGGTTTTGAAATTATTCTGTGGCACTGAGGTAATTTCTTTGTTTTTGCGAGTGTGTCGCCGAGGCGCGATGTTACCGCTAGATTGGAGCAGATAATGTAACTAGTATCAGGTTCTAAGATGTTAATCGTGAGTTGTATTAGTGCGGTGGTAGTGTGGGCCATGCAATATACTTTTATCGATATCGATAAATTAATTGGCTCAACCTCAGTCGCGCCACGTTGAATTTTATTACTCGTGACACCGATCTTGTCATCAGAGTGAGTTAGGGTACAAGACGTTTTGCTAGAGGGTTAAAATACTCAATAGTTATGTCAATTAAAATATTTCTTTATTCTTAAAACACAATGTGTCCAATAAATCTACTATTTTACTGGTCTTATTACAAGAACAAGTGTTCTTTCTCTAGTCTATAGCTAAGAGAGGTCAATTGAAATAAATGTAAGAAAAGGGAAATAGCTTCTATTATACAAAATTAGACGTCTATGGAAAGTTTCATCGTTTAAAGTAAGTTACCAGAGAATTCATGAAATTAATAAAATCGCTTTCGCCTACAACCAAGTACTCGAAAGTGCATACATCTCTTATAAACACGTATAAAGCATTGCTGGCAGTTAATTAACCCTCACAGATTTATAGCGATGCGCCCGCGCATGATACAGCGGTAAACGTCGATACTTTTCGAGTTCTTAGAAAATGTTATTTTCGTACCTTGAGCGTTATTGAGAGAGTTGATACTTGAGTCTTTTAAAATGTACAGATTAATAGTATTTGTCAGTTAAAAGTGATCGTGTGTGATGGAATTTCTATATTCCTGCCACCCACTTAATATCCATGGTCTATTATGTTTAAGAAAAATTAGAAATATGTGGACCCGTTGTTCATTAGCCATACATTGCAACCATGAGACCAACGACGACCGGCGAATCGGTACTTCAGAGAGAAATGTCACCGGTAATAGAGTGGGGCCATGCATACCCGTTCGATAATTAAAGAGGCCATCGCATGATAAATAATGTCCTGTCGCGTTTTTACTGCATATGTCATTATCTCGACCAACTCTATCAGCCGTCACTCGATTAGGTACTTGGGATTTATATAGAGCTGTTTTACAGACATGGCGGCTGCCTTTTAGAGTAGGGATTCACAGACTTATGAGGACCAGAGGCCACCCGGGCAAATCATGAACTGATGTAGAAGAAGGTAATTAAAGTTCATGAAGAATTGATAACAATGTATTATAATCGACAAAGAACTTATTCATTTGAGTATTGAAAACATTAATATTTTTTTACATGTTATTGCACATGGAGACACTATATAATTTAAAAATCAAAAATAAATTGAAATTGACTCGGTAGCTCGGTAGCCGGTACAGGTCCTGCCCGAGT